TGAATAAATGAAAGGAAGGAAGAAGATCACCTATCGTGAGTAGCCAATTATTATTTAAGCCGATTCGCACGTGAAAATCTTGGAAAATCTATTGCCCACCGAACCGCACAGAGGGACAATGGTCGAGTGCGTGCAAATAGGCCTACACTTACTGCCGAGGGTTAGGTTCTAGACCTACCGGCTGAGAAGCTAAGAAGGCAAGTGCTGATCCTTTGCTACGGAATGCCGATAAGTCAACACCAGAGTCAATACTCTCTCTCTCTCTCTCTCTCTCTCTCTCTCTCTCTCTCTCTCTCTCTCTCTCTCTCTCTCTCTCTCTCTCTCTCCCTCTCTCTCTCTCTCTCTCTCTCAAAAGCATAGAGTTGATATGATGATGAAGCAAGTACACGTACAGAATTTCGGGATGGGAGGGTTCTGCAAGGGAAATCTGCAAACACTCTCGACGCCCATCGCAAATCCTGTAGTTTTTTTAAAACACCTGTTTAGGTATATGTATATGGGTGTAGAACAAGTCCACGATCGGTAACAACCTGAAAAATGGGTAGATTTAGGCAGCCCTGTTACAGTAATCAGGTCATCGAATGCGAGCTGGACAGTAGTCATGAAATATCACACTGTAAACCTTTAAAAACTGAGAGCCTAGAAAAACTGTCCGACAGAAGCGTAATATTGATACCCGATGTCGATACATACTCTACTGTAGCTAACTTTGCTTTGGTTTGTACAATTAATTATAGGTTTATTGGGTTTACTTTATTTTATTTCATTTTTGTTAGTATTTTAGCTAAAAGGCATAAACCTTTGCGATAAGAGCAACTCTTTGAGTAAGAGCAGGTGTCTTCGACATATTGTCGTGAAAATAACGGCTGCCTTAAAACAATCACCTCTACAAACAACGACCACTTTCAAATTCCTCTCTTGCTAATTTTTCACCTTATAATGATATTGTGTAAGAAGCACACCCGTCTAATACAGTCACTTTTGTCCTCGACAATGGGTTGAGGGTTGCCATCTTTGACAATTTTGGCTTCACTTTCAATTGCCCCAGAGAGATTGTTTCAAGGTCCTATAATATAATAACCCAAAACAAGGCAGGTGTCAAGGGACGGAACCGTTGATTTAGTTAACCATCCTTCTGATTCCGTCCCCTGTTTTGTGCTGTCCAGACAGTGATTTGTTTTTGATGTCACTCTTCCATCTTGTGTGATTAAGAGAATATTATTGAACTGAAAAATTCAGTCTTTTCTTTTTTTTAAGTAAGTGTTTTACGGCGCTCGCAACTACATAGGGTCAGTTGGTAGGATATTTTGAATTTTCCCCGGGTGGCGGCTGAAGCCTACTCTCATCGATTTAAGATCACCAAGGGATCATTAACTTGCGCAATTTGCACACGGACCCTCCGAGATTTTTCGCCCTTGTCCGAGAAGGCTAGTTGTAGATCTTTCCTACCAGAAGATCTGGGGTATGGCTGAGAGACAACAATAAGAAATAGCCAAGGAGTAGCAGTAGAAAGACTGCAGAAAGAGTTAGGAGCCCAGAGGAGGGGGGCAAAGGAGGTGAGGGGGTGGAGGCAGAAAGAGGAGACGAAAGAAGATGGCAGAATATTGCTAGAGAGAAGGAAAGGAGGTAAAAAGGAGACAATTTTAGAGCAGAAAATGTTTTGGTCGCTACCCGGATTCGAACCAGGGACCCTTGAATGAGAGGCCAGCACATTAACTTCTTGGCCACGAGAGTCCCCAAAATTCAGTCTGAGACAAACAATGAAAGAGGGGACTGTATGTAAATACCACAGCCAAAGAAACCATTCTAACACTTGAATACACCTGCAGAACACATGTACAAATGCCTACCCACGTACATGAAGCCCGCAAAGCAGAGGCGTTAATACGACTGCAAAAGTGGGAAATTCTTTGAAGGGAAGTTGCAAGTCAAGGTCTGGCGATTCTGGCTGAACTCAGCGGATAAACCCAAAAAGTTAGTCATCATCATCCTCATCATCATCATCATCATCATCATCATCATCATCATCATCATCATCATCATC